CTTCTGATGCAATTTGACTGGAATTTTGATCTCTGTTATTTTGCCTTTACTCATATTTAAGACGGAACAGGTGATATCCACCGTTTTTGTAATGGTACATAAAGGATGGACTATCACTGTAAATTCTACTGCTCTGTTTTTCTTGATACCAACAGCTATGTCAGGGGTTACACTCACTTCAAATTTGTCTTCATCATTTTGTGTTGTGAATTGGAATTTTAACATCGAAGCTCTGTCATTGCCAACAAAGAACTTTATTTCACTGTCTTTTTGCACTGGAATTTCATTTTCAAATTTAAGAACTTTTGTTGAACACAAAATGCGGTCTTTGTGATCGCCAAGATACACAAATTCCGTGCCTTTAGTCTTTAAGTCACTCACTAAGAATTCGTTAACTAAAGAGTTCCGAAGCTTCTCTTCTTTCTTGTAGTGAATGTAGAATAGCACACACCCAATAGCAATGATGATCACTACAATGAGAATTATAGTAAATATGATTGGAAGTACTATGGCAAGTACATTAGTCTTGTGAACGCATTCATCTCCATTTGGTCCAACTTTGTTACTTCCACTGCACTCTGCACATTTTTGTGTTTGAGTGTCATATGACTTACAATTGGTTATTGCGTCCCATTTTGTGCATTGAGATGTTTTTGAAATTAAGACATATTGATCTACACATGTGGTGCATGTCTTCCCATTTGAACATGTTGCACACGTATCTTCACATTTGGTACATTTGTTGTATTCATTGGGATAATACTTGTCTTCACATGTACCACATCCAAAATCAGAAGACACAACACAATGCTCTAGTGTCGTGTTTATAATACACTTCTTCTCGTCTGGAGTTGACATTTCAATGTCTTCAAAGTACCCTCCTGTGACATTACACTTCACACAATTGGATATCGTAGACACACAACTTCCACACTTTTCTTCACATTTCACACAATCCATATTCACAAGAAGATATCCATCTTTACATGCAGCACAATCTACACCACTTGGAAGGAACGTTTTACACTTTTCAGCAAGTTCACCGACATACAGACAATCACTTGTAGTATCATCATAGTAATATCCAAATGCACACGTCAAACAATTGTCTGCAGCTAAAGAGCATTTACCACATTTAGTGTCACATGGACGACACTCTTTTCCATGTACATAGAAGCCTTCATTACACTTGGAACATCCCGTGTTTGTATTTTCAAGACAGAACGAATTTGATATTGAAGCTGCACATACAGAATCGCCTTTGACCTTCCCAAGTCGATTCTGTGCAGTGCATTTTAAGCACTCGTATTGTGAAGAGTAACTACAAAGGGAAGTTAAAATATTAGAACAACTTTTTGATTTGTCGATCATATATCCAGCAGAGCATTCACTGCATTGAGATGTCTTTGGATCAACTACTGAACAACTTTTAGTGGACTTTTCGACGCATTTTCCATTGTCTAAAATATAATTGTTTATACACAAGTTACACACAATGTTCTGTGTTGCAGTGATAAGAGCAGACTTGCAGTTACTGTCAGTCAATTTGTAACATTTTCCTTCTTTTAAGTAATATGAGTCGACACATTTGGTACATCCTTTAAAGTTGGTCTCCACACAATTTAAGACACTTTCACATTTATTGGTATTCCACACATATCCATTTTTACACAAATTGCAGTCGTTTGCTGCAGTACAATTCGAACAATTTTCTATGCAACTCAGACACTTTGGTGGCGAGTCTTTTGATAAGTAGTTGCCTTCAGAACATCTTACGCAACGGCCGCTGACTGTTTGCAGACAATTAACATCGGCAGTTTTCATATTTTGTGTTGTTTTTGTTGCTTCTATATACCCCATACACTCATATTCACCATTGTTCTCTTTCATAAAGGAACATTCGTTATTTCTATCGTTGTTATTGCAAATACCAGTTGATCCAATAGTGTTAGAGCACTCAGTACACCCAATATATTCAATATATTTTTGACAGAATTTGTGGTTTATGTAATTGTTAAGTATTTCATTTCGAGCAGTGTGAGCAGAGTTATCTGTGTAGATACAATTAGTCGATGTTGTGCACATCGAGCACCCCTCCATACACTTGACTTTGATATTATTGTCATCCACCATCTCACCAGATTCAATGGTGACACATTTCATGTACTCAGAAGACTCAAAAGCCATGCCAGTTTGGCATCTTGTGCACTTTAATTGTTGTCTGTTGAACGTACCATCGTCCGGTAAATATTCACATGAATAGCACCCAAAGAACTTTTTGGAACACTTTTTGGCTACACTCTCGGACTTTTTATATTCGTCATTTCCAATTGAAACGCACTCGCCTGCAACGGTTATTGATTTGCTGTCACACCCTTTCTTCTGTGATTTTTTATTTTTTCTTTGTTTCAAAGTGGTGTCCAATAACACACCAGAAGTCAGTAATTTGCAGTTTCCATCAGTGTCGACACCATAGCCATCGTCACACTCGTAACATTGAGTACCTGAAGTGCAGACTATACAATGGGGTATAACAGAACATGGCTTACATGTATTTTGTGCGTCCAAATAATACTCATCTGATTCGCAAATTTGACACTCATTTGCAGTTTGCGAACACTTCCCACAATTATTTTGTACACTCCAACATAATTCGCATGTGTTTTTGGTTGTATCTAATGTGTAAGGAGAACGACATTGAGAGCAGATTCCATCAACAGTACATGTGTTGCATTTATCAATCCA